TCTAAGTTTAACTTCTTTAATTCAACAGAAGAGGAGTGCTTATGTTTGGAGGTGCTTATTTTCGGAATTTTACGATATGTGACTGTTTTGGAGAGGTATCACATTAGTTTAAGTAAGCCTTCATAAACTATGTGATGCTACATGATTTAAATCTGACTAAAAATTACTGGATATTACTTCTTGAACAGTCAATCATGTGGTGTTCAATGACTTCATTGTTGTTTATCAGATTGCAAGCGGTTACTTGCTTTTCTCACTTGTCAACTCAGGTTTGACCATCATATCCATGTATTCATCTGTTTTTGTCATGGCTGTATGTAGAAAAGGGAGGTGAACCAATTTTTTTAGGCGAGATAGAAGGAGTGATCGTAAAAACAGGGTACATTTATTAACTGGATGATTCCATTTAGCCTGAGAGGCAGAAATTCAAAAGGGAAGGGCAAGGGTATGTGAAAAGCACCACTATAGTTACTTGAATAAGTGCAGCCACTGAAAAGTGCTTCCCACATTTGGAAAAAAGGGTAATGCAACAATAATTTATTATTGTAAGCACTGCTCCAAAAATAAGCTCTGTGGCCCTGAAAGAATCAAAATCCAAAGATGTTAGTTCTTTAAGTTTAATAGAGAAAGCAATGAAGCCCTAGTTAAAACAATTTTCTGTTGTGACCACCTTTCAAATAAACACTGCCCTCAAATAAGTGCCACATTTGAGGTGTGAAAAATTTAGTAAGGGTGGCCACGCCTATTGGAGTTAACATGGATGCAAGGGTACATAAAAAATGCAAGGGAGAGAGAAGGGAACAGCATTCCCCTCCTTCTTCAACTTCCACTGGCACCATCACACTGCACAAGAAGATAAGTGGAAAGTGAAAACAATACACCCTTGCCTCAAAGTGAGGGAGTGAGATTCAAAGAAGTGAATAAGCACCATAATGAACAAGGACCTGCCAAAGGGGTTCATTAATAATTGAGGATTGCTGACAGATTCAAAAGAGTGACAAATTTTGATCACGATAATTTAGTCTAGGAAAATGCTGGCTAGTGCCAATAGCCAGGAAGTAGCAGGGCTCACGTCTCTGAGTTTGAATTACACATTAATCTTAGATCTATTGTGCAATTTATCCAGTATCCACATACCGAAAAATCATGCTAAACAACTTTGAGCTGAAGTGAAACTTGTTTGATAACTGAGCCTAATTTCTGCAAAGAAATAGTAAAACCTTTATGTTATGGTGGTATAGTAGACTACGAGCAGTCTCTCTTTTTTCTGTAGTCCGTCGAGCAAAACGCGAGACACGCAAATGGCCACGCGCGAGACTGAACCGGAAGAAAAAGGGAGACTGCTCGCAGTCTAGTGGTATAGCCACTATTGTATTGACACAGTTTGCTGAACAACATATGGCTTTATGACACTATTCTTTTGCAGGTTAGATTTTCAGAGGGTCTTAATGTGTCAGCTGATGCAGCATCAAGACTGTTTATTTACATTGGGGTCACCACATTCATCGGTCGTCTACTGAGTGGATTGTTATGTAACATGCGATGTGTAAACCCAGTGTATGTTTACATGGGTGGCCTTATTCTTGATGGATGTGATATCATTTTTCTTACTCAAGCAAAAACTTATGGACACCTGGTAGCCTTTTCATTTCTGTTTGGTTTAGCAGATGGTGTTCTAGTAGGTGCCTTTTACATTCAAATATTGATGTCAGTAGGTCCAAGCTTGAAAGCATCAGCCATGGGTTTAAGTGCTCTTTGTTATGGTACTACCATTGCAACTGGTCCAGCTTTAGCAGGTAGGTATCAGTTAAAGGTAGAGACTGACCAAGCCACAGAAGTAACTGAATCAGTAATAACACAATTTAAAAGTTATAATACAATCATGTAGTTATGACCCCCATTACATTTGAAATCAGTAGCTTTTAGGGGCTCCTAGTATTTTAATTTGGGTGTCAAATACTGTTTACCTTGTAAACAGAGGCCCTTTGATCTTTCTAGATACTCCCTGACTTATCTAGGAAGATCGAAGGGCCGCTGATCCTAGGGTAAATACTGTTCAGCTTTAAGACAACATCATAAAAATCACAGTCTGTTCCAGGCGTTCAGATGGTTTTATCTGCTCAATTTTCTTTGTGCCACTGCCACATGTTAAGTAACCCTAGATTTGTACTAATCGTTCATTGAAAAACTCAGTTCACAAAGTGAGCAGAGTTTCTTGTCGAAACAATGTATTATGCCAACGATTGATCCTGGACCTTCTGAACCAAAGTCCAAAATTTAAGGTGTTTTTAGCTTCCCACGTGGACTTTCTTAGGGGTCTGTCATGCATTCCTGGGTCACGTATCACACTTTGCGAGCTTGATCTTGTTTGGCTTGTCAGCACTTTGACTTCAACAGCACCAATTGGTTCTCTGATAGTCAGCACGTGAGCTCCAGCTGATATTTGCGAACAATGGAAAAGAAATTTAACCGCTCGTTTCAGCAGATGTTTGTGGGGCAGGAACACATGAGGAACCCCTAAGAACATCTATGTTGTAAAACACGTCTTGACCATCATGACTACATAGCTGTGCAAAAAAGGCCACATAGTTTAAATGCAATAAAGCTAGTTAGGTAGTTGGTGATTTTATACTCCAGTCACCACCTCCTGGCAAATTCTGCTTAAAACAATGACCTTTAACTTGTTCTTTTGTTTTCCTCAGGTTTCATGACAGATCGTCTCCATTCCTACATCCCGTCCCTTATTTTTTCTGCAGTGACTATTTTTGCAGCAGCAGCACTACTTCCTATTCTTGTTTGCGACAGAAAATCAACACAGCCTGAGACCCTTCACTGTATTGATTCTGAAGAACATTTCAACAGGGCAGAGAGAGAAACAGGCCTCTAACAATCACTTTTGGATTAAAACAAAGAACTATCATTTAGAGACCATCATAATCATCATCATCATTCTTCAACTGTTTTACTTTGTATTTGAGGCCAATTTCCAAGTACAAGCCCCCGGGGGGCTTATATTTGGAGGAGCGATTTATCGGAGGAGTTTTTGCATTACGAGCTTGGGGGGCTTTTACATGGAGGGGCTTATCTTCGGAATTTTACGGTACTAATCTTCATACATTGCTTTAATAACTCTACAAAATATACCTCAGTCTGTAAAACAGTCACTTGGCTCTGCACCTTAGGTGTCTACACTAAAGAGACTTGTGTGTATAGTATCACAAAGTATCATGATTTAAAATTCATTTATTTAAGAGAGAGGTCAGAGATAATTTTAAAAATTTTCAAACTGATTATTATAGACAAAGAGTAAAATTGTTATTGATACTGCTATTTTATCAAATGAGATTATTGTCAAAAAATTAATATCTATTTAAAAACAAAAAAAATGTATTATGGGGCCAGTTTTAATGATAGATTCCGAACAAATAATGATATTTTTATAAGTATAGTAGGTAATTTACCAGAAAGGTTATTGCGCTATTTTATCAAATGAAATTAAATACAAAATAATACTTTTATACTACTAGTATTTTAATTCATGGTATTATAATATTATTACTACTATTATCAAGCCATTTATTTCCAAGCAATTCCCCGTAAAACTCTAGCAATTGAAACCCATAACGGGACAGGACTGTCTATGTTAAGCATGATGAATAAGTGAATGGCTGTTCGAAAATCTAATACCTCATTTCTAGTAATAGTTTTTGATATAAATAATGGTAAAGTACAGGTATATGTAAATAATATTATAATGCATTTCTTGTCCATAAATAGATTGAATTGAATTAACACTAATTAAAAGCTTGAACTAAAGGAGTCTTTCCATTGTTTTTTTCTAGTGCAGACTGCACATAAAGACTTGCTAAATATTCCTTATTATCTGTGCACTCGCCCGTCATGTTCCCAAGCTTCTCTGAAGTTACCATGGTTACAAGCTGCCTTTGTGTTTGTTTACCTTTAGCAGTTGACTTGAAGCAAAGAAGAAGAAACTGTACAGCTCCACTGATGAGAATCAATGATCCAGCTGCATAGAAGGCAAACTGATATGAGCCTAGTTTATCTGCTATAAGCCCTGGTGAAAAAAAGTATAGAAGTCTTAGATTGCTACTTTGCAGCCAACCTAAGGTTCAATACCCTTACTTCAGGAGGATTAGCTCAGTCAGTAGAGTGCTTGACTTGAGGTTGTAGGTTCAATTCCCCGATTAACTGAGAAATGAAGGTACTACCTTTGCGCTGCAAATTAGTGGACCTTTGCATGGCGTGGATGACCACGTAAAAAAGGTTTGTCCTCAATTAGTACTTTTGTGCTCAATATACATTGACACTTCAATGAGGTCCTCTTAGGCGGGGGCGGGGGTTACATATGCCCCTAGTCTGAATTTCAAAACCTGTCATTTCGCGTCTCTTGAGGAGGAAGCCATGTGGCTGTTGGTATTTACCACTGTATTTGCGCTTTTCTCTCTATACCCCTGGAGGTTCCCCCTGGGGTAATCACTCACCAGCTAAAGGGGGACCAGATGCCACTGCAAAAGCACACAACATATTTCCAAAACCAAAGGCTGTTGCTCTTCTTTCAGGACCAACAATACTAAGAAGAATTACATTTTGTGTTGTCATAAATGTTCCATCAGCAAACCCAAAAACCACAGTGTAAAATGCAACAGAAACAAAAGTTCTGGCCAGTGGTAGTAGCACAGTAGCCATGCCCGTAATTGCAATTGCCAGTTGGTTTACATATTGTATGTTGATGCATTTGACATCACACAGTCTTCCAGATAATAGTCTCCCTACTGCAGATGATAAGCCTAAAAACATGTAATACTTGGATGCTTTCTCGGCTGTGACGTTAAGTTCTTCACTGTACTTAACCTGAAAAACAACAGATTTAGGAAAAACATAGAACTTTTAACATACTGTTAAGGGAACAGAAAAAAGAATGACAAAATCGTGTGTCTATACTTAATGGGTGGATTGGAATATGGAAGTTGGATCGGATGGGTCCAGACACATCAAATACAGACTGGAGGATTTGTCAAACAAATTTAAAATTAACTGCTTTGGGACTGAAATATAATATTACTATTATTAGAGCCAAAAAAAGTTACCATTTACACCCTTTATCATACTTGCATTGCATGCATGTTGCAGTTCAGTCATGGGACTTGATTGAATATACTTTCAATGAAAGCTCCCTATTGTAAGTGACTGCCTCGGGGATCCAATAGTGGTCCCAACTACACAGCTGATCACGGGCTTTCTTAAGTGACCAGAAGATAAACGTACTGAGGCTGGTCACTTGCAAGGGCTTTCAGCAAAAGCTTATGGCATTTGTTTACCATACATTTATGACAGGTAAAATAATATCAAAAAGATCTCATTTTATTAATTTATTTTGCAAAGTTAACGAAACACTAGTTAGTGCTAATATGTATTATGGAACCCTAAATTTGATCAAGAAGTTAAGAAATGCTTTCATTCAACAAAAAGTAATTTCTACAGTCAGTTACGACAGCTTTCCATTACAGAACTCAAGCCATTGAGGTTAACTGGGGTTTCACATGCTGGTCATAACTAAAGCTGGTAACTTAATAGAGTGGTTGCAAAGAGAACTTCTCAAACTCATCTGGTGATGAAACACGGCATATCATCCAGCCTTGATATTACATCAAAAATACTTTATGAAACTGGTACACTCTGTTGGGAAGCTAAGGGAGTATCTGAGTACTACCTTTGTCATTATATGGTATAATACCATAAAGTAACAATGAATATGACTTACCAAATGAATATTAGGAATAAAACGACACAGGAACATCAATGTAAATGACGCCACCAGTATACAGTACTGAGGTATCATGAACACGGATAAATCAACAATTTTTCCTTTTTCCTTCTTGGTTTGAAGCATTGCACTGTGTACCTTATTGTCTAGTTCACGTTTTTCCTTTCCACTTTCAACTTTCTCTAATATTTTGTCTTTCTCTTCCACATTAGGATTATAAGTTACAGCAGCAATAATAATCAGACAGCAGCATGCTGCCATGATCCTAAAAGTATTTCTCCAACCAACTGAATCAAGAAGAACCTGTGCAATAGGGCCCCACATAAACATTCCTAATGAAGGCCCCATTGTAACACCCCCCGTAGCAAAAGAGCGCTTTTTGTTAAAGTACATAGCAACTACAAGAAATGCTGAGGTGCGACAAGCACAAGCGCCCAATCCCGTAAGAGCACCGTAGGTGAAGTATAACAATTCCAAGTTTTGTACAAATGATGAGGTTACAAGCCCCATCATAATAGTCAGCGCTCCAGTGATGGCAACCAGTCGACATCCAAACTTTTCAATAAGGTGTCCTAACAATGGTGCTGCCAACAGTGACATTGATAAGGCAAGAGAACTCACCCATGCTGCAACGAAAATCGTGAGAAAATCATGCTCAGTTATAAATTAAGTTTCTAAAAAATATGACACAGTCAAAAGCTCTCACAATATGTACAGCGCTACTGATGACTGCAGGCTTAGCAAAATCCTGTTTGAAGTTTCAAACAAACTTAATTTATTAGTCTTATTCCAGTAAGAGCATGCCATTCCATTGTTAATGACTGCAGACACACAGGCAAGGGTTAAAATAATTATTTTTATCTTCCTGTTCCTATTTTCTAAGCTCCCATAAGCTAGCAATGCAAAGAAGAATTAATCCTACGAACTTATTTTAATACAAATTTGTGAAGACAGTCAAAGTGGGACAAAGTTACTTTTTGCCAATGGAAGCAACATGACAGCATGTCTTACATTCAGATCTACGGATCCAGAGTTTGAGGTCCTTTTAAGGATTTGCCACCATGTCTTTACATTGGGTTTAAGCATTGGAGTTAATGACAACATCCTGAAACTTTTGTCATAATATTAATTTTTGTAGTTTGTTTCTGATCTGTGGCCTGCACCACAGATGGAACTAAACTCCTGGTTTGAGAACATGCCATGATTACCCTCTTAATTAAAAAAAAGGGCCATTGTCAATTTTCTCATTGGGGCCTACAACAAGGATATCAGTGCTGCTTTGCAGACATCACTATGCAGGCATTAGTTTTTGGATATACTGTAAATACATCATTGTTAATTATTATTATTATTATTTCTGTGACGTCAAATACTATTGATCTTCAACTTGCCTGTTCTCTCGCGAGTTGTTCCAAACTCTTGCATTAACACTGGAAACAAGACTCCAGAGCTACGTAAGATGCCCATGTTTATGATTTGTGTAAAAGTTGCAGAAATGCAAACAACTAATGACCATCTTGAGTCCTGCTTATGTGTTGCTTTCAGGCAACAGTGAAGCAAATGGAACATATCTCTTGGTAGATTGAAACTGCAATTTAAATAATTTTATATATTTGTTTAAACATAGTCACTGTGGATTATACTGTTAGTTGTGGAGGCTTAGGTGGAAGTGGTTGTGTTATCATCTGTAAAAAAAATAATTATTACAATGTTGTCCATATCATATTTGGATGGATCTACCCCTTGGCCTGGTTTTATAATAATTTTATTATACCTTATTACATGAAAATTTACGACATTTATTTAGCGATTTCCAAAATCCTGATTTAGTGGCACTTTAATTTAGCGACTCTTTGTAAATTTTGGAACCTATAGTCATGAAATTTTGGTGACATTTTAATGTAGTGAATTTAAATGCACCAAAAGTAAGTGTCACTAAACTTAAATTGTTGCTAAATTGTCGCTATCTGGTCAGTTCCACACATATGCTATTTGACGGTCGATTATGACGTGCATCATTGTGACAATGTAACTTAAATAAGACTGAGGACAGCAGTTTCAGAATGTTGTATGATTTTTATTTAAATGAAGCTATTGTTGTTTTTGATTTCATCACATAAATGTTCTATTGTCTTCCTAAAAGTTTTGAATACCCTAATTTGCCAAAGTTTCAGTTTGTGAAATCGCAAAAATTAAGTGTTATAAGGAAATTATTTGCTTTTCCTCCTCAGGAATGGATCTGTTTTTTCCCTTAGGTTGTGTAGGAGGTGATTTTCCATTGTCAGACCCAGAAATGTCACTGATGACCATGCACCTCCAGTCTTTGACACCATAAAGGCGATTATATGGAAATCACCAATCATCCTAACATCCTGTTTGTCTTGAACTTTTTTTATGCAACTGGGGTAATCAAGACGATACAGAGGATCAAATGGAAACCAGGCTTTGGGAAAACCAATAGGCCAATTCCGGGTTCCAAAAACTATCACTTTCAAAACGAGGTTGATGTGCAAAACCTTACATATGAAAATGAGTTTTATTTGCATGAATAAAAAAAACATTTTCATATCAATAGCTGTGCACTTAGTCTCGCTTTGACACAGAGGCTTGAAGCAACTCGGAAATAGACTGTTATATTATCCACTAGATAGAAATTCATTCCGTGGATTGTGCTATCCACCTTCTAAACTACTGAGGTATTTTTTCCGAACTCCCCAACTGGGGAGAGGCCCGAGGACAGGCTATTCATCCCACGTTACACCAACAAAATATCTGTTTATCCTGAAAACAACTTCGTGAAGAGAGTAGAAAAACTGCTTACACCTATATACCGATTGCCATATTTAATTTTGTACGGAATTATTCTACTTTGCTAGCATTCGAAAGGCAAGGTTATAAGTCAGTCAGAATCTGCCCTCCCCTCCTACTCACCCTCTGACACTCCGAACCAAAACACAACAATACCACGTACAGCACGGTTTCAGTTGGTCAAAATACAGAAAAAATACTGCTCAGACGCTAATCGGTATCTTACCGTGCTTTTGAAGTTTGAGTTTAGCTCAGAAGACGCGGACTTTGTACCAAAGACATTGAATCATGGCATGAGTCGTGTGAGATTGTTGGCCCGTGAAAGTTTTTAACCGGTTGCGCAACCTTTGCGAGAAGGAGGACTGGTTTCAAAGCTGGTGTTTGAATTCCTGACCGGGGGTAGGGGCAGGGTGACGCAAGGGGTGACGCCAAGACTGGCGAGCGAAGGTATGAAAAAAGTGTGTGGAGGCCTTTAACGACAATATTTCGTTTTAATAAAAACTTAGCTTATGGCTGTTTCAATTAATTATTAAACCTACCTATACTGAAAAGAAGAATAAATAGAAGAATATTAAATTATCACATTCAAACATTTTAATTTATTCTTCTTTTCATGTTAGTGTAACAATTAATAGATACACTCCCATAAGCTAAGATTTGACTGATCGAGATCTTTTTTATCCAAGGTTGATCGATCATACACGGATTTTTGCAATGGTCTTGCACCTTAACTATTAAACGGTAAGGGCAAGATCTTTCCCCTGCGAACGTAACCCCCTCTCCTGGGACTAGCTGGCGTAGTTACCTTTACGTCACAACCGTCACGTGCGTACCGAAACCAAAACAACCAAAAAAACCAAGCAAAGGAGTAGAAAGTAAATTAAGGATTACTACAAAGGAGGTGCATTCGCCCATGTAACTTCCCCCAAATCGATTTGAGCTTCTTTTAGCTATTCTTTCAGATAATTATTTTTTCAAGAGAAAGCTTAAGTGCACTGTTTTTCCTCATGGATAGTAACCTTCGGTCAAGTGTTCGTTATATTTCGCGGGAGCGCGAAAGTAGCGGGTAAAGGGGAAAACTTCGCATTCCAGAGAAAAAAACGCTTGATCGCAGACACGGTCCTGCGACCAAGAGAGATGACTACCTCACCATGCCCCCATAAAAAACCGGAAATTTAACCAAGCCATCTGTGTGAAAAAACCCTTGGGAACCCTGTTCGATCACTGCAAAGGACCCATGGTGAGTGACATGGAAGGTCCAGGAGGGTAAAAAGAGTTTCAGATTTCTGCGCCTGGGCATGTAGGGTTTATTTGGGAGGCGTTACCGGTATCTTGATATAAACAGAGAGCCCGGCAGTTTCGCTTGCCTTCCTAGTCAGTCAGCCAGGATAAGGACATAAAATTGGCCTCTCGAAAGTACGTTAGACGGTCTTTCCAGGTACGGGTTGTTTTGTTTACACCGCAGACTAATTATGCACATAATATTGTGGACCAGACAATGTAGATGGACATCGAGGCAGGATTTTGTCGGTTGTGTTAACATATCGCTTCATTTTACAGTGAATCGCAGTCTTTCAATAACTGCAATAACGCCGGACAAACTGATGGCGATTCAGGTTAAGACCTGGGGCTGTTTTTCTTCCGGCTCTCCTCGCAAACGAGACAGTCTTTGGTCATGGTTGGTCTGTGCTTGTGCTTTGATGACTTGGGTTGCGTCGCTCGGCCTTCTCTTCAGCTTTGGGATATTTTTACCTGTGTTTATGGATTATTTTAACGAATCCAGGGAAGCCACAGGTCAGTAAGTCCATGGACATTTCGTAATCCATGTAACGATTTTAATTTTATGGCGACTGAAACAAGGTTGTGTTCGATTGAACGTTTTCGGGAAAAAGAGTACGCATAAATTTTTGGACAAATATGAGCTTAATTATTCATGTCCGCCGGGTTACTGGATATTACCCGGGGGGCGTTCAACGAAGTTTTGTACGGCGAGACTCCGCCCCGATGTCCAAGCCCCTACTCCCTGCCATTTTTGACAGAAAACGTACCCCACTTTCGTATACCTTCTTTCGACAAACAAATACCCCTTTCCTTTACCTAGTTCAGTGCACTGCATCTCGATCTTTAACTGCTGTAAATAATAATAATAAATGCAGCGTCTTATCAATAAATCACTAAACCCAGTTAAACATTACATTTTTTCTCTCTTTCACAGCCATAAAATGAGTCTGCTAGCTCTTAATTCGCAGGAAAAAATAACAGATTCCCATTATTGGATATTTTAGGACATTTAAAGAATACCCATAAAAATCCCAAATCTGGCAAAGTGAGACAAGTCCCAACCAGGGAATTCCCAACCAAGTTCCCTGGTTGGGACTTGTCTCACTCTTCCGAATTTGGGATTTTTGTGGGTATTCTTTAAATACCCTTAAATATCCAAAAAATGGGAATCTGTTATTTTGTGTTAGGGCCTTTCTACAGACCCGGATGACAGATTTCCCTTCTCTTTCATATACTTTAAGTAGTAAAACCCTAGCTACCCTTGCACATGCCAGAAACCTGAAAAAGGTATACTGTACTCATATCGGGAGGGGCCTTCCCGTATAAGCCATTATAGGGAGTACCAACGGGGAATGTACTATGCAAAGAAGTCAAAACAAGCGATTTTTAGAGCTTATGCCATGTATACTCGTTCTGAAATGGGATCAATCTAACGAATTCTAAGTCTGCTGATTGAAAATTTTAAAACCGTGACTACATTTAGTAGATAGCAGCCTCTCCATGTTGGAAATTGCATGCGTGATTAACAAATGTATTGGACCATGTTGGTATCTTTCCAGTTAAGAACATAAATAGCGTCCTATACTGACTCCATCGAACAAAAACAAAAGACATAAGAAAATAGTTTTTTTTTCGGTGAGAGAGCTTCGCTAGAACCAACTTTTTTCAATGTTTAAAAGCAGCTATTACAGCATGTGCGACATCTAATTATGTGCTACTACAATTTACCATCCCTTGCTTTCACAAGAAAAATGCTATCATTAAACTGCTACGCATATATGTTGCGCTACTTACTATTTCAGTTGTAGAAATCTAAAACGTGTCTTTGCACCAATTGAATTTCAAAAATATTGGTACTATTTTGTTATTTGCTGGTTCATAGCAGATGTTTTCCAATAATGTGGAACTTGACATTTATTATTTTGGTATTTTTCTGCAGCTTGGGTTGGTTCTTTAGCCATAGCCATAACTTTCTTTACTGGACAAGTGTCAAATGCTCTTGTCACGCGGTTTGGTTGCCGCATCACCACTCTAATCGGCGGAGTATTTTGCACAGTGAGTTTGATATGCAGCTCCTTTGTAGACAACATGAAGGTTCTTTTCTTCACGTACAGTCTTCTGTTCGGCTTGGGCTCCAGTTGTGTATTCTCGGCAGGTCTGGTTGTAATAAGCCAGTACTTTAAGAAGAGACAGTCGCTTGCAACTGGTTTACTGACAGGTGGACATGGCGGTGGGGTACTAATTATGGGACCCACATTGGAGGCCCTCATAAGAGCCATTGGTTGGAAGAATGCTTATCGTATTATGGCTGGCGTTGTCTTCGTTCTCTGTTCGCTTGCCATAACGTTTGATCCCAACGTGGAGAAGGACGCTGAAGAGAAAGATAAGGGCGAAAGAGAAGAAATCAAGGAGGGTGAAAACGATAATTTAATTCGTACCAAAATGAAGAAGGTCTTTGATTTCTCTGTGTGGAAAGTGCCTCCAGTGATAGCTATCGTTCTTGCTGCTTGTGTAGTGGAGTTTGGTCATTTTGTTCCGCAGATTCATTTGGTAAGTGATTATTCCGGTACAACTGGAAGTCAGTTTAGGCCACGTCCACACGTATCCGAATATGTTTTTGAATCCGCCATTTTTTTTTCCGGATTCAANCAGTACTTTAAGAAGAGACAGTCGCTTGCAACTGGTTTACTGACAGGTGGACATGGCGGTGGGGTACTAATTATGGGACCCACATTGGAGGCCCTCATAAGAGCCATTGGTTGGAAGAATGCTTATCGTATTATGGCTGGCGTTGTCTTCGTTCTCTGTTCGCTTGCCATAACGTTTGATCCCAACGTGGAGAAGGACGCTGAAGAGAAAGATAAGGGCGAAAGAGAAGAAATCAAGGAGGGTGAAAACGATAATTTAATTCGTACCAAAATGAAGAAGGTCTTTGATTTCTCTGTGTGGAAAGTGCCTCCAGTGATAGCTATCGTTCTTGCTGCTTGTGTAGTGGAGTTTGGTCATTTTGTTCCGCAGATTCATTTGGTAAGTGATTATTCCGGTACAACTGGAAGTCAGTTTAGGCCACGTCCACACGTATCCGAATATGTTTTTGAATCCGCCATTTTTTTTTCCGGATTCAAAAATTTCCACGTCCTCACGTATCCAACCTGTATCCGGATTCACTCTAGTACCAGGACTCCTCTGGGAATATTAGCAACAGAGCATGCGTTGTAAGGCGCGCGAAATTTGCATCTTGCTCTACCTTTCACGGAAAGAACTGGGCTCGATTTTGTTACCTCACCGGCTAAAAAATATCCTGATTGAGCGTCCACAAGATTCCGGATTCATAGCGTATTCAAAACTTTTCATTCTTGAGAGCGGATTCAAAAAAGTTGCTGATTCGTATGCCGGATTCACCACATACGTCTCTACGGAAGCCGTATCCGGAAAGAAAAAGTTGGGGATTAAAAAATATCCGGATACGTGTAGACGAGTCCTTATTAGTGTCACTTTTCATTATATACTACAAGATATCACAAGTCGGTAAGAAAAGCAGATAAGTTATGCCTCATATGGGTTAGTTAGCCTTCGAGCAAGCTCTCCGGGAACCTTTGGCCGCGGGGCCCCTCGTCGCCGTCAGAGCTCCCTGGATAGCTTTCTCGCAGGCTACGTATGAGTTTATATGTCTCTAATTAATGCTAGTGTTGTTCGACTTTGTAATACAGTAAATGCATAAAAGTGTCAAAGAAACCCAGGCATTTACCTTCTTTGCTTGTATGCCATATTTTCCCAGTGTAGTTTAGATGACGTTCTCGAGGAAATAAGCCCTTTTCCTTTTCATAAATTATGCGTACACACGTGAGAACGAGAACAATTTGTACAAAAATTGAGAAGGAAAAAGTTTTGTTAAGTAATAGAAAATAACCTTCATTCTGGGGAAACGGACCATACAAGCTTCAGGGGTCCATGAGGTTCAGAGTAATGGTGTTATCTGACTCACTTTTATTTCATTCCTAACCTGCAATTCAACAGTTTTTTATTTATATTACCTTTAGATTCGTTACTGTGAAGACCTTGGGATTTCGGCTGAAAAAGCATCAAAACTCTTTATTTACTACGGTGGTTGTTCTGCTATTGGTCGCGTGCTTGCTGGCATTCTTTGCAGCCACAGGCGAATAAATGCGTTCTTCATCTTCCAGGCAGCCGAATTTGTGGCAGGGCTAAGCACAATTCTTGTAACTCTAACTTCTTCTTACTCCTGGCTTGTCGTTTACATTGTGATTTACGGACTCAGCGATAGTTTTTTCTTCACCAGTCTAAGTATCAATCTTTTGACTGCCTGTCCTTTGAAGACTCCTGCAGTTCTCGGATGGGAGATGCTGTTAGCGTCCTTGACCCTGGCTAGTGGTCCTCCGTTGGCTGGTATGTGTATTGTTAGTTGTAGACTGTACTAGGCTCCCGGACGTTCACGAGAAAATGAGAGAAATGCAACGAGAAAAGACAGAAAGTGAAAAGGGTTTAGGTAGCCTCCACGCCTCGCAGGCGATAGTTTCTATTTTAATTTTTTGCAATTATGTTAGCCTTTGCCAAGCTCTCAGATAGTAGGGACGTTGTGATAATAAAACAAGCCAAGCGAAAATAAAGCGCGCGGGACCTGGGAAAGGGGCCGGTGGCTGCGAAGGTTAACTCCGAAGGGCATCTTCTCTCTCACCAACTCCCGCTCATTTTTCGCGCCACTTTTTACTGCACTGCTGCATTTTACTAAAGCTGAAATTCTCTACAACGGCCACCTTGGGAACAGAAGAAACTGGCCGTTGTACAGAGGTGGCCGTTGTAAAGAGGTGGCGTTGTAGAGAGGTGGCCGTTATAGCGGAGGTTCGACTCTACATTGAAGCCTGACGAAACAGCTTACAATCCTGCAACAGGCGATTGTTTTAGTTTTCCTAGTCTCTGTATTGATTCAACGCGCTGTATATATATATTTCCCTTGTTTTTAAAAAAGTAACCCCAGCTTTAAAAGTTGATTGAATTTTTTGAAATGTGATTGTTTTGGAGAACGACTATCGATTTTGTACCCATTTTCGTTTTGCTCATGTATTTTGTACAGTATCAAAGCAATCCATTGTTGCCTTTAAAGCAAGCATGGTGTATCTTGATGATACAAGTAAGGTTGGACGATTGTATCAAACCTTATAACTTTATGTTCTCCAGAACCCAGATAATTGATCTAAGCTTTATGACTGGTTAGTTGAGAACGTCAGGACCAAGTCTGAGATATACAGTGAACGATATTACGTAATCGCTGGAATAATCATTAATTGCGGCAAGTTTCTGTCTAATTATGGGATGGTGGTATGGCTGACTGGTTAGCGGGTTCTGACTCAGTACAATCCGCAGGGGTTCTGGATTCCATGTTTAGTCCTGTCGCGTGTTGAATTCTCGGCAGTCTGAGTTTATTAACTTCGTTTCCCGGCAATGCTTTCAAATATCAAACTAGTTGACCTCCTATCATTGTTCTGATCCTTTTTCTGGTTATTTAACTATGAACTAGCTGCAGCAGGCAGGTGCACTTCCACCTACAATATAGCTTCTGAATTTTGCTGCATTTTGGTGTAGTGGAGAAATTCATAGCCCGATGTCGAATTCTCTGCTAGAGAATTTACCCGGCGCTTTTCGGTAACTTGCTGAGAACCAAACGTTTCTGAGAAATATATTCTCTGCTTGATCTCAGATCATATCAAAGCTTTCATCCTAGTCGTTTCATTTTAATTATTTAGGTATGGCAGCAGACATGTTGGGTTCGTACGTTATCCCTTTTCAAGTAGCTGGTGGTATCACTATAGCAGGATCTTTTATACCTTTTATGTTGCTGTGCTACAAACGTCAGGATAGCTACACCTCCTCCACGGGGTCAGGAGACGAAGAGGCTAAAAAGCTTGAGGAAGTGGCTTAATTTAAAATAAAAATAGATTTTTAAACTCAGTCAAGATGGGGCAAACTTTTTGTGATAGAATATGCCAAGATAAAATAAAGCTAATTTTTTTAAAAAAAGTTAGAAATTGGGGAAAAGAGATAGGGGATTGAAGAAAGAAGGAAAGGAACGCCTGCTATAAGAACCCCCTTTTCTTCCTGTCTGAGGCCGCTGGCTCCCGCAAATGTTCTGATTGGTTGAGTTACATTGAGTAGCTTTTTGACGTGATTTAGTAAGAAACAACCAAGATGCAGGCTGAGAAGCACTCGCTACTTGTGATTGGTCACGCACTGACAGTTGACGTTATCGGATTAGTTAGGACATTAGTGGGCGGAATGCAAAAACACCGCAGCGACGGAGTCAGAGTCGGAGTCGTAATCAGAGGCGTAGAACTTTACGTTCTAGGGAAAACAGCGTACTGATTCCGCTTACGAGGCTGTCGTTTACGATCACGTGAAACCTGGGTCGTCGGGGTCGCAAGCAGAAGCGGAAGGTCTAAACCAATCACAAAGCGTGGGAACGTGCCTTGAAATTGGTTTATCCTTCCGCCTCTGTTTCCGACTCCGACTATCTGGTTTTCACTAGATGATAAGAAGTGATTCTTATAACTCCAATTCTGTCTCGTGCTTATGACTCCGCTTACGACTGCGATTTTTGATTTTCACAAAATCATAAGCCCTCTTGCGACTCCGCTTACGACTGCGACTGCGACTCCGTCGCTAGTGAAAACCAGCCTTCACGCGACTCCGCTTACGATTTCGACTCCGACTCCATCGCGAGTGAAAACCAGCCTATGGAAAGCGTTCCCTTTCCCTTTTATCTTTTGCTATTCCATCTCCCCCTCTTCTTTCCCCCCTTTTTTTTCGCCCGCTAAGGAGGCTAAAAATGCAGATAATTACGATACTACAAATGAAACAAAGAAGGGCGCTCGTAAAGTTTTCGGCAAATATATGAAAACTAAATAGGCAGAATTTTCAATACTGAGCTTTTAAAATTTTCTTCTGTAAAAATATGGATGAAGCTATATGCTGTTTTAAATGACTGTTTTTATAGAGTTTGTGAATACACTGTATACATTTTTGAATCGTTTAATTCATAGAGCAATATTTAATTCTAATTACAAAAATGTTCAAACAATAATGATAATAATTAAAAGAATGGCGCTTATACTTGAACCTTCTATGTAAAAGAAAAAACTGAAAATACAGTAAATATGATAACTTCTGTAAGAAATCTAGGCCAAAGTTATTGACTGTCGTAAATCTGAATATAATATAATAAAGGAGCAACTTAATCGATCAATCAAAGCAGCATGTTTTAGCGCCAAAAGCAAAAGAAAATCACTTTACTTTTTAAGACCCCTTTTAACCGCCAAGAAAAAGCAGTTCTTTTAGGCCGGGCCCAACATTGCCTTTTTATCTCTTTGGAAAATGTAGTTTGTAAAGAAAAATCAGAGCACCCGCAAAAGTCTTTTATTTCACTGTTATTTCAAGCCTGAACAAGAACCAATAGTGATGCTACTGCGCACGCCAATAGCAGGAGACTGCTGACTGCAATCATTGAGCCTGCGTTACAGTTATCTGTGTCACAGCAGGAAATATCACACGTGGCCGAGCCACCAGTGCCTTCCCTGCAGATCGGATTATCAGCACTTTCGCAGGTTATCTTGGGTGCACAACCTTTTTGAAAAGATTTTACTCCACCGGCCATGAAGTGGACTTTAATGCACTGATCTTCAACAGAGGAACACTGGGTCTTGGTTGAAGTGCAGTCGCCCCAGGACTTTTTGCTTACACATGCAAAGCATTCCAGGCTTGATGCTGAAACCAAAAGCAACGAGTAATATGTCATGAAAAAGATGTTACGTTTATCCTCTGTTGATTCGTAACATTAAGAGCGTGGTTAGGGTAGAAAATGAGCCCGTCGATCGCCGAAAGTGCGAGCTGCTAAGAGGGTCCCAAGGAAATGCTTCCAGAACATTGTCAAGAGCCCACAGCCCATGGGCTCCTTATATTGTTAGGAGCGGAGCAAGCAACTCTCGTACTAGGCCTACCGTAAAATTCTGAAAATAAGCCCCGGGGCTTATATTTTTCAAAGGCCCTTTTTGAGGGGCTTATTTTTGGGGGGGTTACATTCGGAGGGGCTTATCTATGGAGGGAAATTTGCGATTCAAAATCGATTGGGCTAGCCTTATAGTTGGAAGTAAATTGACCGCTTTTGCTTTATTTTAGTTTGTATTCGAGGGCAATTTCCAAGTACAAGTCCCCGGGGAACTTATATTCGGAGGGGCGATTTAACGGAGGGTTTTTTGCGTCACGAGTTTGGGGGGCTTATATATGGAAGGGCTTATTTTCGGAATTTTACGGTATGTCAAGGCGTTTTCACGGACCGGTTTATTGTTAAATACACTTTAGAGCACTTTTTTAGCGAAAATGAAAGTTCCTCCACTCCGTTCATGAGCGTATTAGAAATATAAGATGTGACAAAGGAAAACTCAGAACGCCGTTACAACGTCAAAAAGTGCCCTTTTCAGGGGTTTCGGTTTTTGCTGACTGGTTTTTGGGACCTGAAAGATATTCTAAATTCGCGTTAAAATCGTTCTAAAAATAAACTAGTCAGTGAAAACGCTGTGACACGAGTGAACATGGAAGTTGCTCGCTCCTAATTATGGGCTCCTTATATGGTGAAAACTAAAAGCTCTGAAATGCCGGCTGTTTTCAGCATTTTCATGGAATATTATTTTAGAAAAAAAGCCATTCGGATGTACTGTGGATTGTTTTTCAAGCTACAGACTAACGCTTTTTTGTTCTTGCTACAAAAACCAACCAACTAACAAAAAAACATTTAAAAAATAATGGTAAAATCTAGACGAGGCAATTGCCTGGTCTTACCGCTTGTTAGCTACGACCCGGAGGAAAACATAGCTAACGTGAAAGGGTTAAGCTATAGCTAGGAGCCAAGTATTTTGGAATTTCGCAAGTGCCATATTGGTCACTGATCATGATTTATTTTTCCGTTAATTAAACTGAGTCTGTCAAATGCCGTCGCCAGCAAAGCAAATTTGCTTTGCGAACATGGCGATGGTAAAAATGTAAAACATAGAATTTTAAAACTAACGATCGGAGGAAAGCAGTTAGCAAAAAAATAACAACTGTCGTTGACTGAATCAGAATTCAAAATCAGGGATGGCTCTAGTAAAAAAATATGGTGTAAACGGGGGGAATGCATTTTAGCTTAGCGAATAATACTACCCAAATTATGTGTTGATCGTATTTTGCTATTTCAACCAAAATCGTCTCAAATTAAATGATAAAGCTGCAGTACCTAAATGTGGCGGCCACCAAACAGCAGCAAACAGGATCTACCAATCCAAGTGTTATACAGTGTCAATATACATGATATATAAAGTCCCCACAGTCATGTAACGGAAAATATCAATTCTCTTCAAAACATTAATTCTAACGTAAAATGTTTTTTGTTCTCAATACAAACTGCCTCCTTAATTTTCTCACTTTGGGGTTGTTATTAACCGTTGTCGGTGGTTCTTTGGGTGGAAGGTAGAAGTAAAAATCGATTAATTAGTACGAATGGCATGTAAACCGTTATTATAACGAGTTATTTGACTTATTTCAAGGAAAAAAGAGCCATTTGCTTAGCGACCAGTGTCGAATTTTACTATCAGTTATTTTTGCTATAGAAATAAACTAATGATTTGTATGACTTTTGCACAATGACGAATCTGTCCAGTAATATTAACTCCGAAATAGATAACAAATAAATTGGACCCTGCGTTACTTAAGAAATTTTATAGCTAGAATTCTGTAAGAGGACGTACAAACAAAATGACTGGATATGTATTTTTGATACTGGATGCTATCAGAAAACTTAACAAAGGTGAAATCGATATAAATTGGCATCGATTTGCCGGTACTATTATATTTGTTGAGAGGCAGCTATAAAGTTTTTTTTTTCACTCAGCTTACCATAATGAACTGTGGCACAGATCAGAAGAAAAAAGGCGTTCACTTGTATTTTCATGGTCGTTCCTTGAAAATTAAAACCAGCTTCAAACTGTAATTTGCTTATGACCTTTGATAACACTTGAGCGGCAGTAATGGTTCCTAGTAATTAGGATTAAAGAGAAAAAAACTGTTTTTGAGGCACTCCCTGTATAACTTCTAAGCCAATCAAATCATAGTTGCTATAGAGACTGAATATTTCTTCAAGGCTTGTCTGGAATGTCATTAGCCTGAAAATACAGTCGTATCTCATCGCTACCAGCTAATGAAGAGAGGATTTGTATTCTCGCGGGCTCACAAACCTCGGTGTTTTCAGCATTTTATATGTAGTGACAGTGACCGGGGAAATTAATAAAGTGCTGGTCTTTTGATCTGTCTGTCTATTCATTCCCTGCGTGCAAAGATTCTATGTGGAAAAGTCAAATTTTTTTTAAGGTCAACTACTGTAAAAAAAATGTTTCTCGTCCGGATTTTTATAAACTAGAGAGCGGGTGTGCCAACCTCGTCCTCAGGGGATTTCCCTAAGAAAATGGGAGGTCGCCATTTTCTTAAGGAAAAGCTCTCAGGGTACGAGTTTGCGTGCGGCCGCTTTCTTTGTTTTTGTTTTTTCGTTATTTCTAACTTACCCCCACTAAAATGCTTCACCTTAATCCCACATTTTATGCGCTAAATTAAATGCTCGGGCTCCCCCCAAAAGGTAACAAAATGCTCGCTAATATGCTCAAAACATACAGCAGCACAGAAACGCTACGCCACTCGAAACGCTACGCCACTCGAAATGGAGAGTTTGCTCGCAGGCTTCAAGCAGCAGAACACGAGAGTACCTGACCTCAAACCCCGACCATAAATGGTCTTTGTATTTCAGGCTGGAAACCCTGGGTTGGAACTTATGTGGGATCGCGAGAGAGAGGGACCCGGTACTGGAGCCCATAATGACTCCTGCATATCATTATATCAAGAGCCAGGCTGAAGAGTACCTAACCAGCTCCTGCAAACAAAAAAGGCCTCCAGCCTCGTGATGCTTGAAATTCATACATACTTCGTTCATAAGATTGTTCTAATGAAAAAGACATTTTTCTTGGACGTCATTTTGACTTCTCGCTATGAAACTGGCGGATGATTTAATACGTCAATACAAAACCAGTTGGGTGGGTGGGTGATCGGACTTGTGGCTTTAACATGAATAAAAAGTTGTTTTACTTTGAAGAGGAACGGAATGCACCTATTTTGTCACCTAAGTATAGCCTACTTAGACTTCGGTAGCACTTTAGGAGTGATACATTGAACATCTTTTTTTGCCCATAGATGGTAAGTTGATTGTACAGTGCCAAAACCGCGGCAATGCGTGACTGTTTTGAACGCTGGACCTATTGAAGTCACGAAATCCGGACTGCTGAATACAAAGTATGTTTTCTAAACTGTCCTTTTGAACAAGGTTTTCTGCGCCATAAAGCCCTTCGAAGGAAGGGCTCTTAGACTAAGTTTAGTGAAATAATGAGGCGAGAGAAACCCTACATGGTTTGTTGAGTTTCAGAAAACAGATTGAAACAACGAGGATTGTATTGACTGTATTGCGTTACCGCAAATTGAGCGCAGTAACTTAGCCGGGGTGCAGGTAGCGACTCGGTTTTGTTTTCATTTCAAATAGATAAAATGGCATTAATTTTGTAATTCCAAAATTTAGTTTTACCTAGAATATATCTTTTTATATGTTGAGAAACAATAGGATCTGAACCTAAAAGGCTGAGAATTATAATTTTTAAATTTCTAAACGCCCCCTACCCCTAGGAAAACAATGAACAGTGCACGCTTGAGTAAGCTTGACAATTACCAATTTACACGTAATGTTTGAAATACAATGAATAGGAATTAGGGCAGGGAATGTGTGTTATTTTCATTGTTTGAAGCATCATTTCTCGGCTTTGCTTTCTCTCTTCGCAGTCCGAGCGATCAGAGCTAATTAATTTCCCCTCCAATAACCTCTGAAACAGACTGAAAATCTAACAGCAAAATGGTAAGTTAATTGTGCTTAGTGTTAAGTTTAAATTAAAAGCATGCTGAAAATAATAGACTGACACTCGCTTCATCCAAACGAAAGTTGTCCTGAAATCATAGATATATATGTTAGCAATTCCGCCTGTTGAAACATCGAAATGTAACATATTTTGGTCTGAACTGCAACAATTTACAGTAATCCTAATATATTAGAGAGAGGGGATTACTTAGGGCCTATTACAAAGATTCGAAATCAAAACAGACGATTTGACTACATGCAAGCGCCATTTTATACACCATCAATCGCCCTTGATAATTTTTGCTTTATGTATTTCCATTTTTTTAAAAGTCTTTTCTAAAACATTCTTGTCTTGAGAGGATTTCGCGTTAGTTTTTCAATTCAATGGCCGCTAAAATTGCTTGTCTGTAAGTGTGTATTTAAAACAGCAAGGCATATGCATGTGCTCTGGTGCTTGGCGGAATCTGAAACCTGTGAAGGAATGAAAACAATGTCAATAGCGGCTGAAATCAAGTGTTTCACAGATCTCCTATTTGTCAGTAACCTCAGTCCACGATTTCATTAAAATTATTGGGTTCCGGCATTTTAGTAGTGTTTTTTGAAAAATCTAAAGTTAGAATTACAAAACGTGTAAATGCCGATGCTAATTAAAAATTTCTTTGCCTTGCGCTCCAAAGTCTCCAAGTAACAAAACAAACGTTACAATAAGAGTTTCGTAAATGACAAAGACGGTTACCCATAATTATTCAGGTGAGAAAATTTGTACAATAAATTAATTTACTTACTGTATATTTCTACAACTTTCTTTTACCAGTCGGCATCACTAAGCCCAGAGCAGCTAAAAGGTAAGGTGTTGTTTTGAAGTGTTGTTAAAACAGTCAACTGTCCCTATAGAGATGGTCACCGCTGGGACAGCACTCAAAGTTAATTTTATTAGACAGGTGTCTGCCTAACAGTGGGTTAACCCTTAAAGACCCTTTAACCCCCGATATCCACACACTAATTCTCTAAGCAGATTTCCATACATTTCCCTGAAGAATTAGTGGGGAGAATTTGATTGAAGATCAAAGTATTTTTATGGCCTTTTCAATTGATTATGCCAGCATTGATATTATTAGGAGAAAATTGATGCTGATCACTACAAGGATTTAAAGGGTTACAGGAAATGACCAATATTATTCTAGGTGTCCATTTCAGGGAGGGTGTCTATTTAGAAACTGTACTGTCATAGCTGTGGTCCTAACAACCATCCCTACTTATGAATAGATATGAGGGGGGCATACAAGAAACCACCCACCTATTGAGGGTCAGTTCTCAGGCCATAAATTTGATACATCAGTGTGTGTATGTTTAAACAAAAATCGGAAACAATTTTTGAACATTGTACTTTACTTTCAACTAGTAATAGAGAGGGGCTATCCAAATAAGACACCATCTTTTTGCTTATCGGAGAAGGGGGTACATAAAGACACAGCCAGATAAAGTAGTGGGTCTTTTCTCAGCAGAATAGTTTTGACCACTTACTTACTATCGTAACTGTTACCTGGGGGCGGGGCAGGCAGAGTTCAAAACAAATATATTCGTTCAAGGCAAAATTAATGACAAAAAATTTATACATGCTAAAGAGTCCTAAAAACTTATTTTTGCACTGGCATTAAAGAAAATTAAAAGCAAGGGAAATGTTTTCTAAAAAAGTTCATTTGGCTTGAAAATTCCCTAACCCCCTCTCCCCTCCCTTTCAACTTTTCTACAGGTCTGTCCCGGTGGAAAGCATTAGATTAAGGTTTCACAAATTTGCTTGATTACCAGTAGTAACATTTATTTTTGTTTTTACTGTTGTCTTTAGCTATGACATTATTTTTCTGGTCAAGTATTTTAATGAGACAGTACAAAATTATAATCCTTTGCTTATGATAATTATCACTATAATTACTTGCAAATTTCAGTTCATTTCAGTTTTTTTTCACTTCAGAATTCAGGGATGCATTTAAAATCTTTGACGTTGACAACAGTCAAACCATCACAACTGATGAGTTGTTGCTCGTCATGAAGAACCTGGGAATGATGGCCACAAAGGAGGAGGTGAAAGAAATGCTCTCAGAGGTTGATGAGGATGGTATGCATTTTAAATTTTCTGCAGGAGTTGATAACATTTGAAACTGTTACCAGTGCAGAGTACTGTATGAATGGAGGGGAGGGGGTGGGGAAGAGATAAAAAAGGCAGACTGTATAAATTAAAGAGAATAGCCTGTCATGAAGGAGCTAAAAATGGTGAGGGGAAGGGAAGACAACAGCTAAAGAGAAAAGGGAGTCCCTTTTCTCTCCACTTTTAACAACTGCCATGCAGGCTAAAACAGAAAGGTAGCTTCAGCATGCAACACTCAGATAGGAAACTTTTGGTTTACACTCATAGCTGCCAGGTGTTTGTAAGTGTCATTGTTATGATTATGGAAAACGGGTATAAATAAAGCCAACAATAATAACCAGCACCTCACAGGGATACTGGCTTGGAGGGAAACGTAAGAAATTTTTTGGGGAAGATGTGCCACTGAGACCCGTAAACCCTTAGCCTATACCAGACCTTGTTCAAGTGAATTTCGCTCCCCTTAGTGGACTAGTCTAGCCTGTGAACAGGCCTTTTTTTTTTTCCAAACAGAGAGCCTGGCTAGACTAGTCTCCCTCTCTAACCTAGAGTCGCCATCTTAAAAAAACCGCTTGAGTTTGCACGTGAATTAATTCCCGGTCCCCTTAGTCAAGACTAAATTTTCAACCAATTGATCAGTTGCCAGGAAAATGATACCCCATTCTGGACCCAAACTCTCAGATTTTTATACCCCATCCCGGACTAAAATGCTTGAAAACCATGCCCTTTACAGTGGCACATACGTATATAGCCTATATGGCAGCCCACACAGCCCACCCACCACCCCCTCCCCCAAGTATACTTGGTCCTGGACGTACCAGCTTTATTAGATTTTTTTTTGCATTTTTTGTTTTAACTTGGCGTACACTTACTTTGATTGCGTACAGGAAGTGGAGAAATCGACTTTGAGGAGTTTGCTGAACTTATGGTCAAACAGATGAAGCAGGGCAGTGAGCAGGAAGTGAGAGAAGCATTCAAGGCCTATGACACTGATAACAAGGGATACTTCACAAAAGATGAGCTTCTCAAACTCCTCAACATCGTATCACAACAAAGCAAGGACATCAAAATCTCCAAAGCTGAAATTGAGGAATTAGTCAACTTTCTGTCCCGCAATGGGCGAGTTGACTTTGACAGTAAGTGAAATATTGCAATGTAGTTTAGGAGAGTAGGACAGTTATGTGATTTCACATGGGAAGTCTTGAGCAAGGCGGTTTAACTTGGTAAGGGACAAGCGATACATTGGCGTGGAGCTGGCGTTAAACGACACAAATATCACTAAAACTACTATATCAAAGGTATCAACGCCAACGTAATGGAAAAATCGGACATGGACATAGTCTGCTACACAGCCGTTTTTAGTGTCGTCACGCAACGCTCCTCACCACTAGTTAGACTAACATGGACACGACTTTCTCTCTTGATACATGGAGACAGGCCCGGCCGGCTCTCCTCCCCCTCCCACCCACCCCCACCTAAAAGGACCTCTTGTATAAAACTTCTTTGACACGCAATCTTAGCGTATCTGATTGGTCGTTTGGTTTGTTAAAAATTGCCAGTACGGTCAAGCAATTGTTGCCCGGTGGATTTCCTTGTTTTGCGACATCTTGCAACTAAATTGGCGCATAAAAGATCGTACTCCCACGTAAGTGAAATAATCACCCGCCAGGTTTAATTTAACGTCTCTTTCAGTTTTGTATCCCTTTGGAAAGCTCTTTCTCGTTGTTGGTTTACCTGCTCCTTAGATGAGATCCCCTGAAGCTGTCCGTCTTAACACCTGTTTGCAATGCGACTCACGAAAACTTGCGTCGCTCACAATAGATATTGTTAAGACGTAAAAATGCCACGCCATTTTAACTAACGACATTTTTTGCTAACTTTTGCAGAGTTTGTCAAAGAGCTCATGAAGTAACCTGGTTAAGACCGTGGGAGAAACTGCAAAGAAATACTACTCAGGATGGCATTTCTTAATGTATTTGTTGAAAAAGTTTATTTTATTTTTATGGCTGACAGCACAGTCTAGGAAAGTACCCGATTTTTCCGTCTCAACCGGTGAAAAAACCTGATGCTTTCAAAGGCTCGGGATAGGTGGTTTACCCGATGTTTTTACACGTTTATATTTGAAAAGTATTTTGTAGATGGTTTTTTATGTGCGAATAAACTATTGTGTTCTTTGTAGTTGATTTTGCTTCGCTCTGTTTCTTCTTCTTCTTCTTCTTTTTTTTAAAATATTTATCAATTATTCCTCGAGCCCGAATGGGCTCTGAGTCAATAGCCCATGAGACCGAAGGCTGAATGGGCTATTGACTCAGAGGCCATGAGAGTGAGACTGAGAGGAATAATTGTTTTAGTAAATCCAACTAGTTGGTCAAAAATATCGAGAATAAAAAACTTTTAGCTAGTTAAAACTAGACTTTAATCCTTTTTTGCCGTCAAAAAGCCCGCGCTTTTCGCTACCAGTGAGCTGTAACATATAGCCTAGTAGTAGCTCAACCAATCAGGACGCACCATTGACCACTAGCTGGATTTTACAAAAATCTGTTGTTTGTACATGTCTCAAGATCTTAGATTAAAAAGGAGAGGCTAGCGTCAAACTCCTTTCAGCATTTTTTTAGTAAAGATACCACTGGGGAAAAAAAGAATAGTAAGCAAAAATACACTATCTACACACGAAACGTTTATCCATTGTTTCTTGAAAGATAAACCCCTCTCATTCCGTGGAAATTTCCAAGTGAAAGGGCTTTAAGGATTGCCTGAAAACTGTTTTTTTATTTGATGTTGCTCTTTCTGGTACTGCACCGGTATCGCGGAGATACCGACGCCCTTGATTCGGGATATTATAGCATGTAAATCAGATAGCCATTGGAATGTACGAGCGAGACATTCTGTACTTTAGACCCGATGCCCTTGTAACCAGAGGATCTTAAGTTTTTGTCGGGGCCGGGTTTCTTTTCGTTACTGATTGACAAACATCACTTCAAGTGATAAACTTTGTTATTCAACTAACCAGCAGTTTAGAGCCTATGGCCCCGCCTACACAAATCCGGGCAGGCTGAGACGGCATTTGAAACACAGCCGGTTTCAATCGTCAACACGAGTTTGCAAATCTCGGCTCTCGTTCAGCGGATTCTATGGTTTTTGTGTGGATGGTAGGCCGATTTGTCTAAGAAATAAAAAAAAATACAAACAGAAAACAAATATTCTGATTCGTGTGGACGGGGCCTATATTAATACTTGTAATTTTACACGTATTTGAATTACAAATACTTTATATTTGCTTGGTTTACCTGTGATATAAAGAATTAATCTTCGTATTCATTGTATGGCCTATTGTGTTCGAGCGAAAACGAACAATAACTGACGTCACTCTGGGAAAATTTATGGGCCAGGAAGGATTACAATATCCACTAAATACCAACTAAAGAGGTTTATTACACCGAGTTATCTACTCTCGACTCGTTTTGTAATATAAACCGTAAGTGCAACGAGACAGGTCGCTGGAGGACAACATGGGAAGTGTCCGAAGATTCAGCAACGGAAGAAAGATTAGCGATATGGTAGGAAAACTCAGTCATGGAACCTGAAAACTTGCTAAACAATGGTAGATTGCTAATGATAATTGCAAGTTTCTGCACTCTTTCTGATTTAGCAAAAACGTTAGCTTTTTGAATTCAGAAGATATAGGTTTATAGGCGTATGTCTGTTTCTTAAATCTGAGGAAATAAGTCAAGTTACTTTCTGACTTACCAGTCTCTAAACCCAAACTTTTTAAAATTCAACATCATCAACATTTTAAAGTAATAATGTTTATTATCCCTATGCTAATGACTTGTGGTACGCGTATGAATTTAATAAAAAAGCAAGTTCAATCTATTTTGATGATGGTCAATAATAACGACAATTCTGTCACCTGAGGGATATTTTTTCTTTTTTTTTTTTCAGGGTGAACTTTCGCCTGACGTTGTCAAAGGTAAAAACTGCTTTTACATGTAACCCTTGCGTATGAGATCTGAGAAACGATGTCAATAATGAAGCGAACCGCAAAGTTAAGATGTTCCAACATGTCCAAAGTTCGATATNACGAACAATAACTGACGTCACTCTGGGAAAATTTATGGGCCAGGAAGGATTACAATATCCACTAAATACCAACTAAAGAGGTTTATTACACCGAGTTATCTACTCTCGACTCGTTTTGTAATATAAACCGTAAGTGCAACGAGACAGGTCGCTGGAGGACAACCATCACAACCATGGGAAGTGTCCGAAGATTCAGCAACGGAAGAAAGATTAGCGATATGGTAGGCAAACTCAGTCAGGGAACCTGAAAACTTGCTAAACAATGGTAGATTACTGATGATAATTGCAAGTTTCTGCACTCTTTCTGATTTAGCAAAAACGTTAGCTTTTTCAATTCAGAAGATAGGCTTTGCTTCCGACCTCGTGGAACCTTTGGTGTAAACCACCTAAAGTCGCGTAATTTTTATTTATTCTATTTTGTGCTTAAAATTTTAAAGCAATTGAGCATACAAACGATCATTGATGCCGTAGTGACCGTAGTGAATGCAATAAAACCGTTTTGATTGTGTAGACAAAATCAAAAGCTTGACAAATCTAGCGAAAACTATCTTGAGAAACTTTCGATGTTTTGAAAGAAGTGTGAACGGCTAGGAAATATCCTCAGGCTTCAAATGGGGTAATGTACCATCATCATATAACGGGTGTAACTCTGAAGACCTGTTTTGTTAGACCAAGCGGGCACAGAAAATAGCTAAATCAAAATCATGAGCAAAGCCGGATTTTATCGGTGGGTGGTTTATTTAAAGGCGAGAACCCGGACAAAGAAGAAGCCGTGCTGACTTTCGTATGTCTGTTTCTTAAATCTGAGGAAATAAGGCAAATTACTTTCTGACTTACCAGTCTCTAAATCCAAACTTTTTAAAATTCAACATCATCAACATTTTAAAGTAATAATGTTTATTATCCCTATGCTAATAACTTGAGGTACGCGTATGAATTGAATAAAAAAAGCAAGTTCAATCTATTTTGATGATGGTCAATAATAACGACAATTCTGTCACCTGAGGGATATTTTTTCTTTTTTTTTTTTCAGGGTGAACTTTCGCCTGACGTTGTCAAAGGTAAAAACTGCTTT